TTTTTATAAAAAAAAGTGACATTGTATTACTTTTTCATTTTACACAGTATTTTTTACTTCCTAAAAAATTTTCATATGATTTTTCAAAACATCCCTAATTTTAAGAGTATTTTTGTAAGTACCCCTGACACAATGTGAAGGCCCAAGTCTAATGTCGAAATTTTTGGGGGGTTAAGTCTGTGACAATTGGACCATTAATCCCAATTTTCAAAGTTGCAACGGACTTCTGAATAAAACTTATAGTAAACCTCACAATTTAACACAAATTCATGGTTTCGAAACTTGGCTCCTACTTTCATAGTTTTACCAAATATTAGAATTTTTAATTTTGTTCATTTTTAACATAACGTTGTATTTTGACCAAATATCATTGCTACACAAATATGTACCAATAGGGGCTAAGTAAGCATCAAGATCTGACTAAGAACTCCAAAACAAGAACACGAGAGATGAGAAAGCTTCTTTTTGAAAATCTCTAGTACCCAAATTGACTTGGATAAGTCTTATTTTCCTGTTAAAAAATGTTTAGATTATTGTATTCTTTTAGAAACCTGAAGAACTCTATCAAGTACATGGTCAAACTTACCATATTGTCAAATCCAAATTTTGACTTTTATCGAGTTCGAATTGACCATGTAGTCAATCAATCACTTTGATCAGANGTATTCTTTTAGAAACCTGAAGAACTCTATCAAGTACATGGTCAAACTTACCATATTGTCAAATCCAAATTTTGACTTTTATCGAGTGCGAATTGACCATGTAGGCAATCAATCACTTTGATCAGACTTTAGCCCCTGTTTGGACCACATATTTATCTCATTAAAATGAAAAATATGACCGTTATCCATCACATCAACATTTAAATTCAAATTTTCTCTCTTGTGCGGGCCCCAATAACGACTATATTTTTCATTTTCATTCTACAAAAAGGTGGCTCAAACAGGTTCATCAGGTAATATGTGCAATCCTTATACTTTAATTATATGTATAATTAAGTCCTTGAACTTTTCGGAACTACTAAAGAGATCTCATCGAACCTATATAAATCAAGCTATAATAATTGAACATAAATAATGTGATCCGATCTAGCCAATAAATTATTCGTTCAGCTTATTCCAATAAGGGTTCAAGACTTACCTCTCCAAATATAGAAAATTGTAGAAGTAATGTTATTTCATTTCTATATAATTAAATCTTCTTGACTTACCTCTTTTGGATAGAAAGAATTATTGACGGACTAAATTGAAAACTAATTATTATTTTATTTATTTAAACTAATATTTTCATCAACAATTTCTTTGTGATCAAATCGTAATAACAATTCAACAATTGCCTAATACCGAGCTCGAATTAAAACCAATCATAAGAAAATATTTAAGCGAATGAGGCGGGATTCTGAATGCAAATGATCTTCTACTACTTCACTTACTTTTTAATTCCCAACGTGACGAGGTTTTGACCCAATATTAGATCACACTCAATGGCACATCTGAGGCCCCCCAGAGTTCATGTAGAAACTATTAATCCTTGATGAATTATAATAACCAAAAAATAGTCAAACTAGAGTTTAATTGTATCTAGCGCGATCATGTATTTGAATTAAAATCTTACACAAACGATAATGTCCAACATACTATTATCACTACTCCCGATCAATATCCTCTCCTCTCACCATAATCAAGACAGACCGTATATCTTAATTAATAGTGTAGCAACTACCGCAACATTGATGGAACAGAGTGTCAACATTTTAATCGAAGACTCTTTATGCACTTGCTCAAATTATAATAACTTCTGTTACTCCTCACCTCTGAGGCCCAGTGAAATGAGACCATGTAGCACGACACGTGGGCAGACAACCAACAAGAAAGTAAAAAAGAAGAGCCAATAGGTCAAACACACCAATAAGACAAACAAATCGAAGCCGTCACACAAAGTCCGAAGTCCCCACACAACATCAGAAGTTCTCACACAGCAAGATGAAGTCCAGGTTGAGGCACTTCTTCAAAGACGAAGCTCAGATCCATCTGAGGCTCTCTCCAACTCATCCGAAGCTCGTTGAGCCGACGCTGTCTCTTGTTATAGATTTAAGGATCTACTATAAGTGAGTGATGTAACACTTGTAATAAAGTTGTCAGTGTGTCAGCCTACTGTATAGGGCAGTTGGCTTCTTATCAATGTATTAATTGTATAAATAGATAGTGATGTGAAGCCTTAGCTAGGGAGATGAGGCCACGTGATTCTGATCCAACGATTACCACGTCGGCTAAGGCAGCATAAATAGGTCCTTTTTGTAATGAAAAGTGGGATGGAAAATAGAAATCTAGACTATGACATGCATTCAAAATATACACTTGAACTCTTGAAAGAAAGATATTAACATTTTTATCTATCCTTCCACATATTCTGGTCTGTTATTACATAGATTAGTTTTGGTTTTGGTTTCAACTCGGTAATCATTGTTAGTGCGATTGCTTCCGTTCCACCCGTCGGAGCTCGAACAACATTGTCTCTCGCCGCAAAGTACCTCTCGCGTCCATGTCCTCATTGCTACCGTCATCATTTCGATAGGACGCGCCGGAATCGTTCTTGACTTGGCGTGAGTGAGTGAGCCCGGTATCTGTTGCTTCATTTTTTGGGGTCGACAACTTCCTTTTATAAAATAAATAAAAAACTACTATTTATTCATAATACGTTCGAAATGTTTATGTTATTACGATAAAATCCTAATATTTTGGGCACATATTGCAACAATTATGTGTCCTGTGCTACACATATCATACAATAAAAGAGAAATAATGAGACTATTAAACCAAGATTTATACCCTTCAAAATTATTATGACACTTTACTGAAAAAAAAACATGTATGTGTAATATATGTAAACCTACACAAACTTACAGCATGAGATTAATTTTAAAGAAAGAAAAACCAAAAAGATGGGTTGTCATGTTTAATGGTAGGTGACTAAACAACTTGCAACTTTATTCTAGATTTCAACAACTTAATTACTCATTTTCCTTCAATGCCAAGAATAAATTATTACACAAAAGCAATTTACTTTACCTCAATGTTAGAATTATGCAGTAATGGTTATATTTAAAACATGTGAAAAATGACTAGGTAAAAAGAACATTCAACATAGTAGTTATTACTTTGAAAAATCTGCAAATAATTAAAGAATCTGTACACTTTTCCTTGTGAGTTTGTGTGTATTCTTTTAAGGAAAATTAACCAAGAAAGAAGATGGATCATCAGCTGGAGAGTAGGCCGAGTAGTAGCTCGTGCTTGAGGCTGCTGGTTCCTCTCCACCATGGCTTCAACCCGAGTTGATCGTTACTGAGATCTTCTTCGACAGGTGCAGGCAAGTTGAGATCGAGGATATCTCGAATTCCTGCAGGAATTGGTTCTTCTTTTTCAATCACAATAGTTGGATTGCTTTTCTCCTCACGAATTAAATGTGATCTCTTGTGTCCACCTAAGGCTTGGCCCGATGCAAAAACTTTAAAGCAAATCGGGCATTTGTGATCCTTTGAAATATTCTTGAACCCGACTTCTGATTCCGACTTCATTGCGAAAATATCAATCGGGACTTCACCATTCGCAGTTGGATTTTGCAAAATTTGATCAGTATCGAGTCTGTTTTCGCTGTTTGGAGTGCAGCAGCCTTTGAATTTCTTGTGGCTAGCTCTATGGCCTCCAAGTGCTTGATAAGAGGAAAAGGCCTTGTGACAATGTGTGCACTCAAATCTTCTTATTTTCTCACAGAATTCATAATCATAAGTACCACAATAAGCAACTTTTTCTTGGAAAACCTCAGGTACACTCAACTGAGGATCATATGAATCAATGCATTTTCTCTTGCTTAACTTCTTCTTATTAGAATCTATCTCAAACTTTTCCGATCCACCGTTCTTAATCAATTTCTTGGGGGAGTTAACTTCGGACTCGTTATCAAGATTCTTTTTCTCTAGAAACCCATATGCAGAAACACGAGATTTGCTCATTTTGAGGCCATTTATTGGAATAACAGGAGTTTTGAATCCGAATGTTTCTTCATCAGACTTTGATTTCTTGGTGTTCAGTAGAGTAATTTTGTTCGACTCTAAAAAGTTAGAATTATTCTCAGAGGATTGATCAAGAACAGAATTCATAACACTCAAATCCCTCGAAAGCATAATTAAACTAATGGCAACCTCTTCTTGTTCTTGCTGATCAATCTCAGAAATGCAGGGCGAAACATTAGCAGCAATAGTACTTAAAGAAGATGAAGTGTTGTACCTTTTGATCATTCTATCCGATCTCTTTCGTCTGCACGGATTCAAGCCTTCATTATCCGATTCGCTATCCAAATCCGGCTTCAGATGATCATTCGACCCGTTCCAAGAATCCTCTTCGACACCAGAAATGGTCCTTCCATTTACAGAGTGGCACTTCATGTGACCAAACAAAGCTTTCCAAGATTGGAAACTTTTTCCACATTCCTTACAAATCTTGTCCAACAAACTATCCTCATCATCGTTTGATGACTTAGAGAATTTGTTCGTCTTCTTCGGATTCTCCCTCAGTTCGTAAACGATTTCGGAGTTACTTTTCGAATTGGTAAGAGGTGGGAGCTTCTTTTTTTTGATCAATTTCTCATCAGATGAAATATTGATCAAATGAGACCTCATATGGCCTCCCAAAGATCTACCCGAGGGAAAGCTTTTGCTACAAAACTTGCACATATGTTTTAGTCCCTGATTTTCCTCCATTGAATCAATCAAATCAAAATCCAAAAAAGAAAGAATCAAAGATCACAAATTGATCAAGAAAAATATGATATCATGAAGCCGAATCCGGGATTTCAGATTCTTGAATTTTAGGTGGAGTGTTAACAAGATCTGATGAACAAGAAAAGCAAAGGCAAAAGAGCTCTCTTTGCTTTTCTCTCTGATTTTTTCTTACTAGAAGAAGTAGAAGTAGCTATAGAGTAGTTGAAACTTGAAAGTTGAAGCAATTAAAAGAAGGGTCAGTTAGCTTTGTAGCTAAAGACGGCGATGAACAAGCCAAATTAAGGAAAAAAAAATATAAAATTGGGGTAGAGAGAGAGAGAGAAGTTTCTCTCTCTTAGAAATTTTGGAGGAGAAATCCATGCATGTAAGCAAAGATAAAAGGAAGGTAAAAGCTATCATAGTAGCTGGTGTACTCCAAACAAAGAATCGTATGCCAACCAGCGATAGGGACCATGATGTACCGCATGTTACAAATAAAGATAGTAAGTTCGGAACAATATTTCTGGGCTCGACAAAAGAAAATGCGACAAATTAAAAGTATTAAATTTAGTAAATAAACCTTTACGTTGTTTCGGTATAAGAAAACCCACATTGTCAAGTAAAATATAATTCGTATCACATAAGAGGACAATGAAATTCGGAACAATAGAAAAAGAGCAACCACAAATCAAAAGTTTGAGCACTAATTTAGTGAAAAATTCTTTACTTTGTCTTGGTATTAAGGAAAGATGGTTCCAGCTCTGGCCATTACTCTTTTGGACTTTTTCTATATTATTATTTTATTTAATTATGTATACATGTGTGTGTGTATATATATGGGTAAAGTGTTATATCTAAAAATCGAAGATCCACAATGTAGTTGGGGTGGGGTGGGGTGGGGTGCCATCAAGTTGTCGTCACTAGTGTTACTTGCCAAATCAAAGCATACTACTCTACTCCATTGAATTTTATTGGGTAAATTTCCAAATATGAAAATAATCATTGTCTTTAATTTAGGAAATTATGGGGTAAATATGGTTTCTAGAATTCAATATATGGATATGTATTAAATTGGATTGGTATTTCGTTCAATTTTTCACTCTCAAGCAATGAATAATTTTGTATCATTATAAATTCGTAGAAAATATAGCTTATACAAAATAACAAGAAGAAATGTAATCGTTAAATGAGATTTCGAAAAGATCGTTACTAAAAAAATCTAAAATTATTCATAATTTCAACTAAAAGAGGAAAGAGAACACGACGTTGTAAAATTTTACGATAGTTAATTCACTCTTAAATGACTCCAAATGCCACTGAATTAAACAAAATTATTCTTGTTTCTACCGCAATAAAATTAAGTAAAAGCTGTATGTGATTCAAAAATAATAATAATGGATAGCAGGCTAGCTTTTAGCTGAAATGAACACTGGCCGGCAGGCCGGCCGGCTCGCACTGCACAATTCTCCAGCTGACACTTTTAGCCGGCATTTCATTTCAAGATTTAGCTGTAATGTATTTTTGTCATGTCTTCTAAGTTAAATGAATTGGTTAACAATTGCATACAATACTAGTGTTAGATCATTTAAAATGTAAAAAAATTGAAACTTTAATTTCAAGTTTTAGTATTTAATATTGGCTACTATTCTATAATCTTCTTTGCGAGAAAATAAAAATAAAAATAAAAATTTAAAATTTTATCAATTATCTTATATAGTATAATTTAATATTGCGAAATAATAATGTCCATCTAGCATGTTTGTAAAAAGAATTGGAAGAAGGACGTGGCTCCATAGATGACAAAGAATAGAATTAAGTGTATGCCCGACCCGAGCTATTAGGCCAAGAATAGATGAACTAATTCAAGCAAGGAATATTCTTCGCATCCCCAAAGAGATGCATTGTTGCCATTGTTACTTGGTTGCCAAAGAAATACATTCTTTGCATACATGGCTTTTGTGTATAAGACTAGCACGAATAGCCCTTCTCTCATAGTACTATTTCCTATCTATCATCGAGAAATATTTAATCTTACAAGATAAATCAATGTCTTAGAGAAAGCGCCCTTTCTCTGGGGATACATGAATGTCTAGTCCTCAGTGGCAAATAATTATGTTGTTCATGTTTCCATTCTTTTGTTGACTCTATTTTTTTTTTGATATCCAATTGTCCACCTTCGACGAATAATCCTGAGGTCTATGCATTGGCCCCTCAAGACACAGACCAGATAAACCGTGGGATGTGCCACAAACTGGTCAGATCCAAGAGCCCCCTCCATTGGTCTGCCAACTGCCGAGCGAGTCAACACATGTTGTACCCTGTCTTCCAGGATAAATTTTGCCTTCCAGGAGAGAGCTTGCATTCCAAGAGCCCCACGAATCGAACTCGCGACCTCTGAACTACCAGTAACTAAGAATCTCGTCATTTGCCAGTTGGGATGTGCCCCGGGGGGCAATTCTTTTGTTGACTTTGTTTGCATATGAAGTGGGCAAAGGTTGTAGTTTAGTAAGCACGTAGTATGGCAAGTGAAAAACTAGGAAACATCACTACATAATTGCTTCCTAACTGTTTTTATTGTTATAGACATGTGCATATGCACATTATATGTATGCTTGTGATTTGGCCGGTTAGTGTTCATGTACTACTGTGGATGAACAATTACTTTGTGAATGGACAAAGAATCTTACATTAAAAAAGGGAAATCAAGAGATTTTAACATTTAATTTTCTTCCAATATTAGATTGTAACATGACTTAGTACAATGTGATTTATAAAACACTACGATCGATTAGACAGATATCCTTAACATTGTTACAACAAATGAAGTTTACTTTTAACAACGAAAATTTAAATTTTAAAATGTCATTATTTGGTTTATTCATTAAAAAAAAAAGGTATTGTCGAGAGACTTTTCAAGAAAATTATTTAATCGGTAAAAGTAAAATTTCTGGTAGCTGTAAGATTTAGGTTGTGCTAAAAAATATATAAAATAAGTTAAACAATTAATGAGGGTGTTCGGCTAAGTTTGAGTAGTTACTTATAAGTAAATAAGCTTAAAAATAATTAATTCTTTTATTGATAAGAAAAATAAGTACTATGCTTATTTTGACAGTAAAGTTAACTTATTTTTAGAAAAATAACATTTTTTTTACCTCTTAAGGGTGAAAAAAGGTAAGTTGTTCATAATTTCATCCCTTTTTAAAGTAGAAATTGTGCCAAGAAATGGTATCGAGTGCAACTCATATTCTTTGCACGTTGATGATCTTTGTAGCAAGGAAATAAGTAAAGGACCTAAAGCTGCTAATCCTATAACAAACAAACAAACAAAAATGGAAAATTGCCAGAAGGGAAGTTGAGGTTTGGACCTTTTGGTATGTACTACATGGTACATGATTATCTCCGATATTATTCGACAATATTCAATTTAACGTACTAAATACATCATAAATATACGGCTTTATTAGGCACCACATCCCTTATAATCATGGTCAACGATGGTGAATTTTCGACTGTCGATATGTTTATAAATCGACACAATTGAGTAAAATTACGTGATTTTTTCTAAAGGGATGCTCCAATTGATGAATATCGACCCTTGAAAAAGTTTGGCCATTCACTTGTCTGATGGCTTTGTAACATTATTAACTATTAAGAAAGGAAGATAAGATGCCTTGCTTTGGATCTATCGATTAACAAATTCCCCCAATTGAACAACATATAAGGCCTAATCCTAGAAATACCAAAAGTGTATCACTATGTTTCTATTTGTTGGCTACATTAAGCCTATACATAAGTAATTTGTTTTGTTTCTATCTTCATTTTTATATCTTTCAAGAAAACGATAAATTATAACGTATAAGATGGACTAACCAAAGAAAGTAGATAGATCGACCAAGGCAAAGCCAAGTCAACCATGGGTCAGCTGCTCGAACTATTATAAAACAATTCCCAAACGAATGAACAATCTCCTCAGAAATTCCTTGATAATACAAATGTAAATGTGAAGTGGCAATTACCCAAATAACCCTCGATGCATTATAGCTACGAATCTTTATTTAACGACAACAGTTATTTGCTTTGATAGAAAAACAATATACCTTCAAAATTAATTTTGATCATATACCAAAATCCTTTTGCAATTTGCAGCAACTATGAGTTATTAATTGTAGTTACGTACCTAACTAGGTAGCTAGCTGCATTTTTAAGCAAGCTTTTTTTATTTAAATATAAAAATGAAGAAGTAAATTTCAGTGTTGCTTTTAGACAATATCTTTAATCCCAAGTCAAAGCAAGATCCACTGAGCATGGAGTGTATGGAGATATACTGCAGCTTAACTGGTCTTCTTTGATTGAGTAATTAAAAATATGAATAACTTTCATTAATTATGAGTAAGTCAAACTTTTAATCATGCAAGCCATAAATATTTGTATAGCTAAGCTCCTTGAGGGTACTATTGGGGCATTTTCATGCTTCTGACTTTGGGATTATATGTAATAAAAATAAAAAGTAAAATTGCACTATTAGTCCCTAAACTAAGGACTATGTTGCAACGTTGTCCTCATATCTCTAAATGCTGCTGCATGTGCAAATGAGCAAGTTCTCAACAAAAAAAATGCTTAGAGAATACTCAAAAAGAGCCAGTTAATTAAAAAAAAAATGTGGGATAAAGTTGAGTAAAATGGGACCCATATTTCTCCTTTGCTTGATATTTGCATTGTTCATGCAGGTGGGTGTTAGAATCAAATATTGTCTTCATCCAATTGCAATAAAAAGTACTAAAAAAAAAAAGAAAAGAAAAGAAAAAGAAACACAATCGCTTTTCTTCCCTCATTAGTAATTTCTTAATTAATGTATGGGTCTTGGTCTTTCTTTTTCTGTTTCTGTTTCTGTTTCTAAGCAGAATATTTCCAAGAATCCATGCACGCCTAACAAACGAGCATATATATTGTTGAGCCACTTTGTTTAAATTATTAAATAAATGACAATGAGACTTGAACTCAAGAACTTTGTTTGTTCTGTTACCATGTAAAACAATTTGATTTAAAAGTTTAAATTATTATATAGAACGATACCTAAATCATTAAATCTTAGCTTTAAAGGCATATGTCATCGTAAGAAACCTAAAGTAGAACTGAGCCGATAGAATACTTCACAGTGTATTTATATATTGTTCTATAACTTAGTGATTCGACGCTCAAGTCAACTCAACCAATAAGATAAGCATAACATGGTGAGATGGTGACTATTATCAAATGCATCTATTGTATAAACAAAAGAGAGTTGAGTTTCTTTTGTTGGAGTCGTTATGCAACTATTTCTTTGTTTTCTCTTAGAAGAAGTAAAGTATGTTTTTAGTGGTGCGCATGAACTTGTAGTGCAATGGACATTTACTTGCATTCCTAAAGAAAACAATAGAAACAATTACACCCTATCATAAAGGAACATATGGGTCGACTTATTTTGTATATATAACTTTGAATAAAGTTATTTTAGCCCTTTAATCTAGATTTTAATTTACGTCAAAGTCAACAATCAATTTTAATCACACATTTTATGATATCTACAACTTTTCAATCATACATTTCATCAACTTTTATCGAAATTTACTAAAAATCTGAATTTAATCTCCACCAAACATGGACTTTATAAAACAAATAAAAATATAATATATTAACGTACAATTTTAAAGAATGAAAATTAACTTGTCCCGTAGTGTCTATAGCCTACTTTTTGTTTCCACCCTACCCCATTTCCACACCCTATAATCACGTAAATTGAACTTGAATGGTGATGTGATGCAGCAAGCGCCAAGAAATCATACGGACCACAATAAAGCCTTGTTTGGTTTGGATAAAAATTAATTTTTAGTAAAACTTGATAAAATGTACAGTTAAAAAATTGATAAAAGTTGTGAATTTCATAAAATGTATGACTAAAAAAGAATTTAAGGAAATTTTTTTTTTTTGAGAAACTGGGGGCCCAAAAAAGGGGTAAATCTGCTCAAATACGGTTTCTTATTCAATGAAGCTGCCTTACATGTACAATTGCAAAAGACAAGGAAATATACTCCAATAGGCATTCCATGAGTAGAATTTACTAAAATGAGTTATTGAAAGTTGGCCCATACATACAGCTTATGTACACAGCATTTCACAAGACCAACTACCAGCCACAGAACAGATGTGACACCATTTGTAGCTCTGCAAATCTTAAATACATAAGCTATAAACATCTGCACCATGGCCTTGTTCAAATGGCTCCACCCCACATGGCTGAGAAACTCTACTTCTTCAAGATACAAACTCAAATGATATATACGAATGAAGCAATATCGAAGAAACTGCAAACAGTGAATTGAAATGTGATATTCAGGAGAGGCTTTTGATAATGTAGCAAAATGGCAATCAGGATATGCGGAATTGAGCCTTTTTTTCTTCTCGTTTAAGTGAGTAGAAACTGATAACTATTTCAACAACCATGTACATGTAGCACGCCATCCAAAGGGTTACAATTGTCTGTCTTCTCCGAGCATACAGAAAACAAATGAGTTATCATATACTCCTATGGATTTCATGATCCATATTGGCAACCATGTGACTCTAAGATTCATATACTCATGTGTTACAGTGAGATATCATATACTCGCTATGGGTACATGGTATGATACGACATAACACGGACACAACACATGATTTTCTAAAATAAGGTCATAGGCACGTCAATTAATATTCTTTAACATTTTAAATATATATACTATCTTTATTATAATTTTTAATATACGACACAATACAAGGCATGTCCAACACTTGCTCGAGGAGTGTACTTAAATATCCTTCGAGCACTAGATATTTAAAATACATTATAAATCGGTCATAGTATATGGCTTATCAAGCCCATTTCATGGAGTGTAGGAGGATTCTTAGTGTCCAATGCAACACAATACACGCCGGACATCAACACGCAGTCCTAGTAAGAGTATCAGCGCTTCATAGAAAGAGAGAAAGAGAGGGTGAACCCAGATTGACAATTCTGTGTTTAAGCTGCCTTCTTACAATACGTCAATCTCAAAAGGCTGAAACACCAGTATAGAGGAAATATAGGCTCCATTTGAGCCCCATTTTTGGAGAATAGATTTCATAATAGTGATATTTTTGGATAATGTGTCATTAAAAAGAATAGAAAAATTTTGGGTTGAAGTGCAAATTTATTTTATAGGAGAATGTGAGGTTAAAAATGAGTTTGGAGAAAAACGAGGTTTTAGAGAATGCGCTCAAACAGGGGCATAATGTGTAATGCAGACCTATAAACCCAAAATCAGAAAGAAAAGCACTCTTCAACCAAATCATCATAATCATCTCTTCAAATCAATACTTAGCTTTATCAAAATTTCAACCAACTAGAATTTAGAAAAAGAATCAACCTACTCGTGAAATCTTCTAAAATTATAGAAGAAAAAAAGGCAAAAATGCAGAATTGGCATCAGAGAGTTGATGGGAACCTTACAAAAATCGTCATTGCAAGCATTTCATAGATCAACACCCTCATCAAGACCTTTAGAACTTAACATCACATTAGAATCTATCTGTTTGTCGAACTTCTTTTTCCTCCGAGCTTCAAAATCCTGAAATCCCTCCATCTGAAAGATAACTTTGGTGATTGCTTGCAGATAGAAGTTGCATGTTACTGGGGACTATTGATATTAAAAGTGCATTGAGCGGTGTGAAACTAAAAACTAATCCCACCTGTTGAAATTGATCCATAACAATGGGATTGCCGTGGAGTGATATATTCTGAAGACTTTTGCATTCTTTCAACAAATTTGGAGGTATCTGCATTATGGAATAAACTAGAATAACGAACGTAAATCTAATATAAAACCAAAATTCAAGTGAAAATCCTACAATAGAAGACATCTGGCAGAAAAGAACCGATTAGATGATAAAGAGAGAGAGAGAGACAATTAAAAATAATTAAATTCAAAGCAATAATGATTTCCATTATTATAAAAGGCAGCGTTTACAGAATGAAAGTATCAGAAATTTACAAAAAGAAATTTACTAAGATGGAAAAGGACGACAAGTTAACAATTGACTGAATACCTGCTTCATATTATTATTGTTCAAGGACAGTGACTTTAAATGAATGAGATTGCAAACTGAAGCAGGAAGCTCTTCAATGGAATTTTCTGCACCAGATAACAAAT